ATATGTAACAAACCTGCACGTTATGCACATGTACCCTACAATTTAAAGTATAATAATAATAAATAAATTTAAAAAAACAACAAAAAAAACGAAAAAAAAACCTATTATTTAAAAGAACATTCTTATTTGAGCAGTTGACAAAAAATACAGAAATAGAGAAAAGCTGGTTTAAAATAGTTTTTAAAATCAAAAAGTATACAAAATATAACAATTATTAAAACTCTCAATAGTTTGCCAGTCCAATAGTTTACCAATCTTTCTGCATTGGTGTCTTATCAAACATGAACTGTAAAAACTGACCCTGTGCTGTTCTCAGTCATTTTATAGGTTAAAGAAAACCCTTCTGAGGCTGACACCTGAATGACGTGATATTTTCAATCATTTTATAGGATATATTTTATAAGTTAAAGAAAACCTTTCTGAGGTTGACACTGAATCATGCTGCCTTCTTCATGGACTTACTGCCTCATTTAGCTTAGAATATACTGAACAATATATATTTCCCAATTTAGACTACAATTGAAGTGTGAAAACTTCAATTAATTAATTTTGAGTGTTTTCTATCCCCACTTAATATAAACTGAATTATATCAACCTACCCTAAATGGAAAATATATTCAGTTCACTTTGTTCCTCTGCCTAAAATCAAAAGACCCATGATCCTGAAAATAATTGCAACTTTGACTTGGGCACTTACGGCTTTTGTTCAGCTGTAGCAAAATGGTTGCAGCCTCTTATTGCTCTGAGAGATATTAGACCTGAAAAGAATGACAGATATTCCCTCAGTGAACACCCATACCTTACAAATGGAGAACCTTAAGCTAATGGTCACATAATTGTTATAATAAAAGGCACTGAGTTTTCCTTGAAGCGTTCAGCACTCATTTTGTACTGGAAAAATTACTTACTTTCTGTTTTCACGATCTAAATAATATTAGTAAGTATACTAGATTTGAGTGTGAGATCACCAGTTCTGGTCTTATTCTGAAGCACATTAACTTCTGATTTGCTACAAAGTCCTGCAAAACTGTTTTCTAATTAGCCAGCAATCCATCTTCCAGTTATACACATTTCCTTCTTCCCTGGAAGTCTACTTTACCACTACCAGTATCTGTCCCCTCACCCCTATACCTCCAACACACACACACACACACACACACACACACACACTTACAAGGTGAAATTATTTGTCAGTGAAGAGTTGATTTTCTCTCCACCATCCTTCCCCAATTTGCCATTTTGAAAAATAACATTTAAATATAACACTTGCCTCAAAGATGATAAGCTTGTCCAAGATTATGCGGTAGAGCCAAGATTCAAATCACTGCACTTTGCTCCAGGGCCAGTGATTCTCTTCACCTCTACACTATTATGACACCTAACAAGTTGTGATGACTGCAGGGTTTGATTAGACAAAGTCATTATCATTAATCAAATCAGAATTTAGTACTTGTTTAAACTGTATACCTTACCTGTATACATAACATAACTTACAAATATATATATATATCCTATGTTTTACTTGAGAAAGTAGAAGCTAGAAAATCATTAATAGAACAGTTATTACAATACAAATATTGTGATTTCTATTCATTTACGGCATATAGTACTTGATGTATGGTCATATTAGAAAATAGTTGCATACTTTCTTTCATTTTCTAAGCACATGCTTTGAGATTAGATTAGAAATTATAGGAAGTTTTATTATAACATATAGAAATGAAAATTTCAGCACATATGATCCAGTATTTTTCTGAGTATTTAATTAAGTATTTTTTTTAAAATCACATACACTGTTTCTTGTAAACCTTAAGGGAATGTGTTAGTCTGTTCTCACGTTGCTATAAAGATATACCTGAGACTGGGTAATTTATAAAGAAAAGAGGTTTAATTGGCCGACAGCTATACAGGAAGCATAGTGGCTTCTGCTTCTGGGGAGGCCTTAGGAAACTTACAATCATGGCAGAAGACAAAACAGGAGCAGTAGTCGTACATGGCAGGCAGGAACAGGACCAAGAGTGAGAGGGGGAATGTGCCACACACATTTGTACAACCAGATCCCACAAGAACTCTATCAGGAGACAGCGCCAAGAGGATGGTGCTTTACCATTCATGAAGGATCCAACCCATGATCCAATCACCTCCCTCCAGGCCCCACTTCCAACATTGGGGATTACAACTGGACATGAGATTTGGGTGGGGACACAGATCTAAACCATATCAAGGAGTAATTACTGTTTTATCTAATTGTTCAAAAGCTTTAAGAAAAATAGCAAAAAAGATGTTATTGAAATCCAATGGCATACCTTACATGAATAATTATTAAAAGGAGTGTTCACCGGGAGGCAGAGCTTGCAGCAAGCCGAGATGGCGCCACTGCATTCCAGCCTGGGCGACAGAGCGAGGCTCCGTCTGAAAAACAAACAAACCAAAAAAGGAGTGTTCAAGAAAACTGCGTAAGAATAGTAATGGCCAAGTAGATACAAATTGGCCTTCTATGCTACCCTTTGTTGTTTTTAATTTATTTGGTAATCTTCTATCTCACTTTTTCATAAACCTAATTTATGCAAAGTACTCAAAGATCCCCTAGGAAGAGCTTTTGAAATTTATTCTGAACAAATACAAATATACAGTCATGAGAAGTACTGCGGCCTTAATCTAGTAACAAGTTATCTAAATGTATTGTGGTAAATTTTGCATCATTATCAACATTATTGATATAAACTCTTTGCTAAATCTTTAAAAAATAATTTTTCAGTCTTTAATTTGAGTTCCCAGTGCAATATGCTTCCTCTGCACCCTAGGAAAAGTCACTGTCCATGCAGTTAATACTCTTTATTAGTGTTATAGTTATACTTGACT